AGCGGATCCACAGCCGGGCGCTGCTGGGGCTCGGCGCGCTGCGGGAGCTGGACCTGAGCCACAACTACCTGACCGCGCTGACCCCCGACACCTTCCTGCCCCTCACCGGCCTGGCCACGCTCAACCTGGGCAGCAACAGGCTGGGGGAGCTGGAGCCTGGCGTGCTGGCTGCCTTGCCCCAGCTCCAAGCCCTTCTCCTGCAGGACAACCCCTGGGTGTGCAGTTGCAGCATCCTGCCCCTCTGGCGCTGGCTCAGCCACCACAGGGAAAAAGTGCGAGGTGAGTGCCCAGAGGACCATGTCCCCAAGCCCCTCACTTGCTCCACACCGACTGGTCACCCCATGCAGTTCCCAGCGCCCTGCCTGCCAGCCAGATGTGGGCTTGAGTGATCGGTGCCCATGGGGGTAGAGTGAAGTTCCCCAGAAGTTGTCCTCAGGCTGTGGCAGCTCCTGTGTCTGCTTGGGTGGATACACCCCTGGGTTTGGTACCTGGTGCCCACCCTTGGACCTTGCTCACCTGGAGAGGAGGGTGACAGGCACCCAGTGACAGGCACGCAGTGACAGGCACCCAGCGCTGTCCCCAGTCCCATCACATGGGGGGCAATGGGTCGCAGCGACAGGCACCCAGTGCTGTCCCAAGTCCCATCACATGGGGGGCAATGGGTACTCCAGGGGGCAAGAGGAGCCTGCGTGTCAGGGTGGACATCACTGCTGACCCAGCCAGGATGTAGGGCTTTCAGCCCCTTCCTCAAAGCCTTCAGGAACCTGGTTCTGACCCTGCATTTCTTCCCCTGTGAACCCTGGTGAAACCTCTGCCAGCAAGGTCTCTCCTGCCTCTGCCACCCACTCCTGCTTGCTTCCATCCTGGGTGTGTGCCTGCACTCGTACTGGCTGGACCCTCTGTGGCATCTCCAGGCTGGCTGCTCACTGCTCCCCACATCTGCCTCCTGGGAACCAGTCCCACCACCTTGCCTGCCCCATCTGCCATCCTGCCCCAAACCTGTTTTCCTGTGCTCCCTCCAGCACTGTGCCCACCTCCCCATCCCATCCCATCCCACTCCCTGTGTCCCAGGACATGGATGATCCCTGAACCTCACTGCTCTCCTTCTTTGTACCCTAACATGGGCAGTCTTGGTCAACCTGGCCCCTGTCCTCCTGCCTTGATCCTATGTGTCCCATACAGACCTGCCACCCTCTTGTCCTTGACCCTTGCCTTTCCCAGCTGCCCAGTGTGCCCACCAGCACTGCTTTTCTCTTCCAGATAAGAGTTTGCTCCTCTGCAGAGTCCCAGAGCAGCTGAACAAGTATCCCATCATGGCCTTTGGGGATGAGTCCTTCAGGCAATGCCATGAGACCTCGCTGTCCTCCCATCACTACATTGCCTTCTTCATCATTGGGCCATTCTCCTTCATTGCCAGCATCTTCTTCTGCACCTTCATGGGCTCCATGGTAGTGCTTTACCACAACCTGCGCCGGGAGTCCCACTGCTGGAGGAGACCTCGCATCTGCAGGGTCCACTGAGCCAGGGTGGGCAGGCTGTGCCCATGGGTGGGCTGTGGTCTGTGCCCTGCTCCAGCTGGATGCACCCACCTGTTGTCCCTGTGGACCAGTGAAAGGAAACTCTGTTCCTGGAATCACTAATATTTTTCTCAAAGTCCCCTGAGAGGATACTAAGCTCCCTCTGCCCACTGCTGGGGGAGCCGCTTCCAGCTCAGCTGGAGATGCTGATTTGACTGCAGATGCTCCAGTGTTTCAGGAGGCTCCCTCAGGCCACCCTCAGACCTGCACACCCCCTGTCAGGAGTGTCCAAGTGATCCTTCTCCTCCTGTCCTGCCCCTCGTGCTGCCCACGGGCCACACTGTGCCTTTCAGGATGCACTGTATGCCTCTCCATGCCTTTTGGTGCAGCCTAGGAGCCTCTGTGTGCATCTCAGGACACACCATATTCCTCTGGGTGCCTTTCAAGGCACTCCAGGAGTTACCATTTGCCTTTCAGTGCAACTCAGGAGCCTCTGTGTGCCTTTCAGTTTGCCCCAAACCCTCCTTGGGCCTTTTGGAGACCCAGCACACCCCATCTGCCTTCAGTGACCCCAGGAGCCTCAGTGTACATTTCCATGCCTTCAAAACTCCTTGACTTGGCTTTTTATTCCCCAAATCCCATCTTTTTGGCTTTCTGTGTCCTGGCAGGTATTGGTTTGCCTTTTGGTGCACCTCAGATCTCTCTGTGTGCCTTTTGGTGCACCTGAAGATCTTCGTGTGTTTTTGGAGCATTCCAGAGCCTTAATGAGGCTTTCAGACTCCCCCAGATCTCTTGTGTGCTGCCCGAGGGCAGGGCCTGTTGCAAAATGTTCTTTTTATAGTTTTTTTTCCCCTTAAGTCAGGAATGGCAGTGCTGAGAAGGCTCAGCCACAATCAAGATCTCAGATGAGGCTGAGGTTTACGGTGAAGGTTGAAAAGAGACAAAAATCTTGAGCTCCCACTGATGTAGTTCAGAGAAAAGGTTGCCAAAGGATGGGTGAGGCTCTCAGTGGCTCCTCTCCTATAGCTTTTCCCTAGGCTAAAGCTCATCCCAGGCTAAGGTTTAGGGTTAGCTCAGTGATGGGAGTGGGGACACACAAGCCCATGTGGGTTTACAGCACAGAGCTGTAGCCCTTGCTGCTGCCTCACCTCCTATCACCCACAAAACAGGGCTGGGGCTGCCCCTGCACCTCCCTGCTCTGCCACCTTCTGCCCTTCCCTGTGGAAATGCTTCTGGACATGCTTAAGGAGCGCACTGAGAGATGGCTTGGAAGGAGCTGGAGCTGTGCTCCAGAGGAAAGCACAAGATGGGATGACAAAAGCATCTTTCAAGAAGGAACAGCACTTTCTGGCATGAGTTTTTACCCACTGCAAGGCCATCAGGGCCACAATGATCTGTCTTTGGCCACCAGCCTCCCCTTGTTCACTCAATCTTTTGCCCATGCAGAGCTGCAGGATCACCCAGGGATGTGGCAGGGTCAGTGCATCCTTTGGCAAGCTCTTAGCAAGGGTTTAATGTCATGCAGAGAATAAACCAAATGTCACCTCACTTGTGGCTTGCTCCCATTTTTATTTGCAAGAGAGAAACCAACCCAGGGTGCTGCTACATCACTAGATTCCTCCTTCCTTCTCTGCTGGGGGGTGTGGGGCTGTGGGGAGCTGGGGAAAGCTCCTCCAGTGCTACCAGTCCTGCACCTGGGAGGGCTGCAGGACCTCTGCCAGGATCAGCCTCTTGTCTTTCGCAGGAGCAATCCCAGTGCTCCCAGACCCTCTCTAATGACAGCACTCGGTCCTTCTTGAGAAGACCTGGACTTCCCATTTGGAGCTAGGACCTTGCTTGTCACCCTGCATAGCCACTCGAGCCCTGCTCCTCCTCCTAGACTATCCTGAGGCTGAGCTCCCCATGGAGGCTGGGCTGGGGGTCTTAGCACATGGGGAACATGCTGTGAATGGGCGATGTGTCTTCAGTTCAGCCTGGGGAGGTGAGTCTGTTTTGCGAATCCCTCGGTGGACCTCCCTGTGGATGAGCTGATGTGTGGGATCTTCCCCAGATGCCTTCATCCCTTTGGTCCGTCCTCTGTTCCCTAGGGCTGGTCCCACTGACAGTGTCCCATGGTGTCTCCCAGGAGCTGGGGATCCCAGCAGTGGCAGGGAACTGTTTTCCCTGGGATGGAGGTGGGGCAGAGCCAGCTGCCATGGTGCTAGGGTTTGGGCAGTTGTGGGCTGTCCCCTCACTGCAAAGCCTGTCCCCCCATTCTGGCTGTTCAGGCTGTCTATCAGCTGTGTATCCCAGAATGGTGACGTCCCTTCCCTCCTGGTCTCTGCAGCCTTTCTCCCTGCTGGTTTCTCCACCCCTTCCCACCCCTCCACCCTTCTCTGTTTGCAGACCCTGTGGCAGGGCTGGGTGAGGCTCTGAATCAGCACAGGGCTCCCAGCCAGCCTTGCCCGGAAGTCAGAAGCAGAAAGAGACACACAGCACTGGAATAAACCACTTCATGATCCAGTCTAGACTTTACTGAGCTCTTGCAAAAACTCGGTATTAATGTTACATTGACGTATAAAGTAGAATGGGTCCAAATTTCTCAGCTGGAGCTAGATGAACTTGATGGAGCCACAGCAGTCAGTGGGACGATGCTCACAGACCTCAGCTGCCATTGGAAAATCCTGCCTGTGAGGCTGCCTGTCCTCAGGGAAAGCCCCATGTGCTCAGCTGGGGCAGGGAGAAGGCAGTTCACGCTGCTGGGGCTTGCTACCACGTTGCAGGTGGGTTTTCCACAGTCGCAGGAGGTGGGATGTGATGCTGCCTGTGCACGTGCAGTAGCTGCTCATCACTAGCCTGGCTGGTGCCAGATGCTTCTCCCAGTGATGGTGTCTCCTCACCCACTCTCAGCGCCCACGGGGAGGGTGCTCAGGGCTGCTGGCACATGGGCACGTAGGCTTGAGGGGAGGAAGGTGAAGGGAGGAACGGCATCAGCCTGGCTTGTTTGGTTTCCTTCTTCTGAACTGGGATCTGCTTTCCATATCTTCAGGTCCAGGCAGCTTTGAGCTGGAGCTTCAGGGCTGCCATGGGAGCTGCTGGCAAGCTTGAACTGCAGGTGAGGGTGGCAGGGAAGCTGCCAGTGCGGGCCATGGTACCCTGACACTGCAGGCAGGCTGGGTGGCTGCTGCAGCACCGCAGCATGCAGCAAGCCATGACCAGCCAGCAGCATCTCTCCTTGCATTGCTGGTGCTGAGGCAGTGTGGAGCTTGGCTAAAGGTCAGTGCAACCATCCAGAGCTATTCCCCATGGAGATATTCCTGGCCAGGAGAGCCACTGTGTGAGTGCTACATACAGGTCCTGGGGGATGTCTTCTGTGCAGGAGAGGTGGGGAGGCAGGAACTTGGCTGACAGCACGCGATGGGCTCCAGAGTCCCATGATTAGTACAGGAGTGCAGGCTGCAGGGTGGGAGCACTCCTGCTGCAAACAGGTCGTGGGCAGGAGCCAAGTCATATCCACGGGCTGATGGGAGGGAGGAGCAGGGGGTCTATCCCCTGTGAGGAGCAGAGCACACATCTTCCAGCCCTTGTGACAGACGAGGAGGTCACTTGCCACATGCCCATCCTGCTGACTTGCAACAACGGGCACATCCCGCTGGAGCCCTCCAGGTGGTGGGAGATGTGGAGCACACATCTGAGGGCTGTGTGTGTGCTGAGAAGGCTGCAGCCTGCAAGGTGAAGCACGTGCTTGCGTCTGGCAGCAGCTCTTCCCTGCTACCATGGGAGAGCAGTTGCCGTGTGCCTTTCACAGTCCTTTCCCCTTGCACAGAGCCAGTCAGTGGCAATACTGATCATTTTGGCACTGGTTGGAAGCAATTATCTCTGTACAGTGAAGTCCAAACCGTGTCCTGGGTCTGCCGTGCGTTCTGGGGCACGAGCATGGCAGCAGGCCTGGGAAGGGAGGGAGATATACAATGGAGTCACTGTGTATGGATGAAGGATGCTTTCCTCCCATCTCACCCAGAAGAACCCATCAGTGTCCCTTGAAAGGCAGTCCTGGCTGTGCCTTCCTACAGTGTTGGGCAAGGACTGATGGCCCTCGGGGAGAAGGTCACACCACAGTGCTGACTGAGGGGTCGGAGAGGTTGAGCTGGCCGGTGATGTCGGTGGGGTGATACTGCTGCAACACACAAATAGACAGACAAGGAGGAAGAAGTGTTAGGCAGTTCTGGCACTTGTCCCCACCACTACTTATATCCCATGTGTCCCTACAGGGTTTCTTTGGGGGTGGTGCAACGGCCCAAAAGCTGCTGCTGGCTGAGGTCCCCTTCCCAAGGCAATCCAGGCTTGTGCAGAGGTCGTTGCAGACACTCTCCAAGCACCCCAGAGCTGGGCAGAGGGGACACCCAGGAGCGTGGCGCAGCTTCTGCGGAGCGTGGCTGCCGCATCACCCGCTGAGCAAACCCCTCTCTGCTCTGGGAGGGCTCCAAAACAAAGCCTGTGACTCATCAGCCCAACCCATGGCTGAACCTGTGTTTGGAGGGTCTGGCTGGGTTTTGGCATCTCTCTGGTGCCAGATCAAGCTGTGCTTTGAGGCCAGGGCGCTTCACCTCCTTGCTGGAACGACCCTGCTGTGACTATCCTCTCATGCAGGTGAGGAGATGTGTGGTGTGGCTGAGTTGTGATAAAGTGTGGCATTGATTGCTAATGTGGAAATGCAGCCTGTGTTGGGGATGTGGCCTGGATTTGGGGTTCTGCACTCCTTGCAGATGGAGGGGCTCAGCAAAACACTCCCTGGGAGACACCTCCCCATTGTCCCATCAGCAAGCAAGTGGAGAGAGCAGAAATACCCTTCGACAGGCAAGAAAAAAGAAGTCCTTCCTGCACGGGCAGGAATTTGCAACTGGGCAGTTGTTTCCTCCCTTCCTCCTTCCATACTCCCTTCCTCTCCCAGCTCCACTCTCCTACCTCCAAACCCTGACCTGGAAGGCCTGTCCAGCCCTGCTGTGCGTGCAGGTGGGACAGAG